TCCTGTGAGGGAAAACTAGAGAAAGGTTGCCTTTGCAGTCTGCTGAAGAAAAAGAACAAACCATTGCAAATCCTTTGACTTCTAGGATTCCTGGGAAATTCTATGATGAAAGTCGGTGGCAACATTCTAGTCCAGCAGGATGCTCACAAAGACCTCCCCTCTTCTCCCTCATTCTTGAGGGAGTCTTTACAGTATGGCAGAGGAGCTGGCTACTGGATGGATGAGGCAGGGAGAATGCAAAGACCTTTTGTTCTGGTGGTTGGGGAATACCGGCAGGCAAAGCTAATTGGGATCTCGGAGCGCCCTGTGTTAAAGCGTCCATTAGCTTGGCAAACTTGAGAGCCTGGAGAATGGGAAGCAAATGGAGTTTGGTGCCCTGAGCTTCCTACTCTTTCACTGTTTGCTATTTTTCCCTTGCTTTGCATGAATGGGAGGGAGGGATGACTTTGCTCAACGCCATTTCAAGCTCTGCAAAGTTTGCATAGCACTTGGGAAAACTGCAGCCAAAAACATAAAAACATTCAAGTGGAGTTTATTCAATTAATTTTAGTTTCCATTTATAAAGATTTTACTATTCAAGCAAAGGAAAATGAGAATTAAAATGTGGCTGAAGTCACAATGTGCTGACACTCAGCACAATTTTACAGCCTTTTTAATACTCAAGTAATTTTAAAAATAATAGGCTGAAAATAGTAAAAAACCCAAAACTAATAGTTTTGCTAAATTGCACTTTTATTACATGGTTTCAATTAACATTTTTTTACTCTTCTCAAAGAGACAAATTACGCTTCCTTTTTTTCTCTCCAGGAAATTATAGGATGAGAGAAATAAGGCAAAGCCTTGGCCTAAATGTTGGCTGACATTCCAATGGAAAGAAGACCACATTTATGCTAACACTGATGGGTTCCAGAATGACTGGCTCTTGTAAACAAGGAAGATATTAACAACTCTTGCCAGTGGAAGGGAGCTTCAAAACGTGGGCTTCCCACATATGGTGATTCAGATCATTCAATGAAATGCATTAGTTATTACATTTAATATATACGACCTGAAGAATTACAAATAATAAAATGCTTTCAATCTGAAGGTGGTTTGTGGTTGCTTTGAAGTCCTCCAAAAGGTGCAATGGTATTCGCTGAGGTATTTTGCTGTTGCATAAGGAACCCGTTATACTACAGGTGAGGAGAAGATTTATCCCACATGGTAGGAGGCTTCATCTGGGTTATGAACACTGGACTGATACTGAGCTCCTCTGAAGTAAAGAAAGCTATCACAGGGGTAAGAGGGAAAATGTTTAATTCTCAAGTTAGGCTGAAATGGCCACAAAGTTCAAATCTTTTCCTTCATTTACCGAGGAAACCTGTGGACTGATGGCTCCTTGGGAACCGTCATCATAACAATAATAGGCATTTATATAGGCCTTTAAGGATTGCAAAGTTCTTTACCTCCCTATTTCCTTTCATCCTTACAACAACACTGAGATATCAGTGCTAATATTATCTTTGGTTTACAAAGGAGGAAACTGAGATTGAGAAAGATGAAAGGTCTCTCCCAGAGCCCCACAGCTAGCAAGTAACAGGAGGTAGGATCCAAACTCGGGGCCAGTACGCCACGGACCATGTCACCTAACTTGATCACGTTTGATACTCAGAATAAAAACTGCCAAAAAAATCAAGTCGATGAGCAATAAAGAATAGCAATAACAACAGTAATTCCCTATTTCCACAATAAGAGGCCATGTGGCATACTGGAGTCAGGAAGATGTGCCATCCCATCTCTAACATATGCTGGCTACGTGACCAAGGGCGGGTCAGATCAACTCTCTGCCCCTCTGGAAACTAGTTCTCTAGAAGAGCTTGGTATTGGCTCTATTTGCTTAATATGGTCTCATCATACTGGCTGAGGTCCTAATTTCGCGCAAGGATCAGTCTTTCTGAAGCACTAAGGGTAACTTTCCAAGTGACACATGAGTAGCCAGTTTGAGGCAATTGAGGGAACTTCCACCTGGGACTTTCTCCATCCCAATGAAACCAGAGGCCTGGAATCCTTTCTTCTCCCTGTTGACATCCTCCCCCACAAAAAAATAAATAAAATAGCAACTCTTGGCTTTCAAAAGCTTTCCATACATGTTATCACACTGGACACTCAAAACAATGGTATGACTTAGACAGGCAAGACTTCATGGGAAAAAAAAGACCTCAGATTAAGGGAAATGACTTGACCAAGACCACACAGCTGACAGGTCTCTCCTTTGGATTCATTCCAGTGCTTAGCCTCATACACCATACAAAATCAGGGGAAGTGAAATAAAATGAAATTGAGCCCAGCTCAAATTATGCTAAGACCAAGTGGGCCACCATTTCCTCATCCTGGCCACTCCCAAGTAAAAGGTACAGCATATATTAACATTTTCATAATACACTGTTACCTGAGATGGACAATTTGTCAATTTAAAAAAAAATTGTTTTAAATTGCTCTATTTCCATTTGAACTGTATACTTGGCAAATAACGGCCTTTAAATTGAAAGGATTGCCCATCAGTGAAGCAGGAAAATGTATTTTATAACTAACTGTGGCTTCTCCTTTTATATTAACAATATGGCTAAATTTTGGTAAAAACCATTAGCCACCCAAAATAGAAGGCTTCAAATAATCAAGTTTCTAACAACCGTCTTCACCCTAGACACTGAAAGATCAATCCTCAAATATTTCCATAAGGGGTTTTATTTTTATTCCCCTCTTCCCCCCACTCCCCAAAAAAAGAGCAGTGTTCTCTCATGGACACTCAAACTTGGAAAAGAAGCTTGCTTAAGGCTTAAGCAAACATAATTTGTACCCAGGGTCCCCGCCTGTTAAACTGGCTCTCAAGTGGACATGACTCAAATGCCTGCCTATCGCCATCCCCACAACTGGCCCAAGCATCCCCTGTGCCCACAGCACGGCAGGAGAGGCTGTGACCTCTGAGCTTAAACTGCTTGTTTCCTTCCTGCACTCAACTCTTTATCATAGGAACTTTCCAAATACAGCTTTTGGATCTTTCTGAGCTCAGGCCTGAGAAAGACTATTGGCCACCAGGGAGTGCTAGGCCAACTCCAAACAGGAATTTGTGGTTCATTCCATTTGGCCTTGGCAGTCAATCTTGGGAAGAAGTGTGCTGGCTGTGGAAAGTTAATCATCTCCTCTGTGGATCCGACGTGAAGAAACTTACGTACCACGGCTGCTCACAGTTCAGTGGAAGGCAGCTGGCCTCAGAAACAAACTGTGTATTTCCTGAAATGTGCCTGCTTCCCCCTTCCCAATTATGCTGCTCCATATTATAACAGCTGATGTAAATTTAGTCTTTAAAACATACCCTAGAGACAAGAACGAGGCGGACCTTTCAAAACCGGCCCACGGACCCTCTATACTGAATACGGGAGCTCCGAAAGTCTATTATCAAAAATTTTACAGCCACTGGATTAGATTAGATTCAGGTTAGCGGTACTTTGTGTCTGTAACAAATCTTGCTATAAATTTAATGAAGTCATTTCTCTATCAAATTATAGTACATATGCAAAAGTCAAGCATACCATACATTTTCATAGCGTGAATTGCATTGTTACTTGTAAATGTTCAAGATATTCAGTATTTGTGATTAAAGCAATTGAAAAGTGTTCCCATTACAGTCTCTCTCAAGCAAGGGGCCTATCTCTCGGTCCCTCATTAGCTCTGCTGCCTGGGGTGCTTTGTGATAATACCCATTTATCAACAGTAGGAATAGCATCGTATTTTAAAATATGTCTTAATGTGATGATAGAGAGGGAAAATGATGGTGCATTAAGAGCCGACACACGGCAGCTGAAGCCCCGGAAAGAATCAGTAATGTCAGAGAGCTTGAAGGGATGTTGGAGACCATCGGACTGGTCCAACCCCAGCATTGGTCTTTTATCACTAAGAAAGGCAGCCTACCAGAGTGGAGGGCCCAGGGATTACCTGTGTCACGTCATCACTGTCAATATTGGCATCATCATGAGTAGGCACTGACTGAGCACCTCTGTGTACCAGGCACTGTGCTACACACAAAGAAAGGCAAAAACATGGTCCCTGCCCTCAGGGGGCTTCCATTCTAACGGAGGAGCTGACAACACGTCATTTAACCTCCCAATACCCCAGATAACTCTCTAAAACCAAAACCAAGTTACTACTGTACCCTGGCAGATGGGAGGTTAGACCTGCAGTTCCCACAATGATGAAATTAGAGGTTTAGACCAAAAAAATAAGTTTCCATTTACACAGCACTTTAAAATTTGAAAAGTACTTTACAGATATTATTTGAGCCTCATGACAATCCTGTGAGGTGGGTACTGGCATAATACTCATTTTACAGATGGAAAAGAAAACAAACCAACTGCGGCTCAGAGGCTAAGGTACTTGCCTACTATCACACAGCTATTCAAGTTTTAGAAGCAGGATTCAAACCAAGGTTGAAGTTCAACACTAACCATTACTCCACACTTTTTCCCCCAACAGATAAGGAAACTGAGGCTCAGACATGACTTGTCTAAAATCTTGCCATGAATTGCTGATAAAGCATGGACTAAGAAGGGTAAGGATAACTGAGGTGTAATAATGCTTGAAGCTTGCAGCACCTGGTTAGGATCACACCTGCTTCTTTCCCCCACCTCCTTTTCCTTCCTTAAAAAGAGAAAGTATTGAAATGATCGTTGCTGCCTATTGGTGGGGCCTGCATGGGGGAGGAGGATGGATGAAACGAGGCAAGGATTCATCATGGTTGCCTTCCACTGCCAAAGGACCCTCACGTCCTGTAATATGCACCTTGTACATTTCTGACACCACCTGTATCTGCTTGTTTTCAGTCAAGTGGTGTGCTACACACACACACCTGGAGTGTCCGAGGGAGGGAGCAAGCTCCTCCAAGCTGGCAAAAAAGTCAAGTGAGCTTTGCAGAGCCACTGGACCAATAATTCATCTCTCTGTAAGAGTAATTTTAACAATATGAATTGCAGCGCTCACTCCAGCAGCACTAAAATTGGAACAATACAGAGAAGATTAGCATCACCCCTGCACAAGGATGATGCACAAATTCGTGAAGGGTTCCATATTTTTACATTTTAAAAAAGAATGTTAAAAACGGTATTTAAATGTCATTGGGAAAAATTATTATTTAAAAATTGACATAAATTGTACTTACATTTGTCGGAGGGGGGGTTGGAAAGCAGGAGGAAGACCATGATTTCATCAGTATGCAGAACTTCCAGTGTGAAAATTCCCTCCAATCATGCATATTAGCTGCAGATCAGCAGCTCCATCTATAATAACTAGTTTTAAGAACTTGTTTAGGCACTGAAAGGTTAATACCCAGTGAATTACTCATGGTCCCAGAACCACTATGTGTCAGAGGCAGGACTTGAATCCAGATCTATACACCAAGGCTGGACTTCTCTCCACTTTCCCACGCTGGCAATGTGTAAATAAGAAATGATTTCTATTTGTGTACACGAGAGAGAGGGCAGCATATAACATCACCCCCCTGGTAATGGAACAAATGAGGGACTCTCCCACCACATTCATGAGTCAATAAGGGGGGGCCACCTGGAGACTCTGAGTTTCCCAGGACACCCAGGAGAGAAGGTCATCCCTCTGAGTACAGCGCTGCAGAGGGGAGCCTAGGAATGGGAGGACTTTCTAAAATGATGCTTTATAATGTTACTAACAGCTCACATTTCCATAACATCTTAGGATTTAGAAAGTATTTAACACAAAGATGGGGGTCCTGTGATGTGGGTGATATTATCATCCCCATTTTATTAATAAGGAAACTGAGGCTCATAGAGATTAAGGGACTTCCTGAAGCTAAAAAGCTTGTGAGGCAGGATTTGAACCCAAGCCCTTCTTTAACATGCTCCCAGCCTATCTTTCCGGATGTTACTCTTTTCCACTGACTTTCTATTCCAATGAGACTGACTGACTTGCTGCTCTTCTCAAGACATGAAACTCCATCTCCAGGCTCCATGTCTTTGCACAAGTTATTTCCCATCCCTAGAACTTCCACCCTCCTCATCTTTGCTTCAGGGAATCCCTAAGTACCCTCCAAAATTGGACTCAAACCCCACCTCCTACAGGAAGCCTAACCTGATCTCTCCCTGGAAATTACTAGGCAGATGTTTTATATTTAATTCCTTCTGGATGTGTTGTTTCTTGTCATTAGAATGTAACCATCTTGAGGGCAAGGCCAATACCTACCACAGTGGCTGGCATACAGTGGGGGCTTTATTCCTTCTTGAAGAAATAAGCCCTATCAAGCCAGGAATACACATCTTACTCCTCTCTTTTTACAGATGGGAAAACAGGCACCATGTGAGAGGTCACATAGGGATCCCAGTGAAATCACCCAGACCTATGATGAAGACTGAATGAAGGCAAACCCCCCCTGAGTGACTACATGGAGGTGCTATACTTCCAACTACATCTTTACCCTAAAAAAGCATCAGTCCCCCTCACGGGCCAAGCAGCCCCAAAGCCACCGGCACAAGCAGAGACCAGACGGTTTGGTCCTCCTCCCGAGTCAGGTACGCTGCAACATTTCCACGAGGCCTTTCAATTCCAAGGGTTGCAAGCTGCTGCCAACTCTTGCGACAATCAAAAATCCTCCGTCATGGGACTGGGGGCTCTGAACATCATGTCATAGCCACTCTGCTGGTAGATTTATTGGAGGGTAAAGCATGTCATTTATGCATCAACTCACAGGAGAGAAAAGCAATCCCTATGAAGTTAATCTAATAATAGACTGGGAAGCAATGATTACTGTTCCGTGTGCACCAGCTATTTGTAGCAGTGGTTGGCCTAATTCTGCAGGCCTCACTTGTCAGAGCTTTGGGATTAACAAGTGTTTAGCTGGGGAAACATCAAGAAATGGCTTAATAAGGAACAAGCCCTTCATTCCCTTCCACTGGAAAGATGCTGAAATCATATCTTCTCCCGCCCTCCCCCTCTTCACCTCCCACTGCCCACGTTTGAAAGCTCCTTGCACTATATTTATTTCTCACATAAAACAAATTCTGGGGAGCAATGTTCAAGTGAATATAGACAAACTAGACCCTTTTCCCGTATAGCACTAGAACACCATTCAGTTTTGACAGTGGAAACTACTGAGTATAGTAGGATTCCAAATTTTCAAATTCACTGCTGGAGCCTGCATTGACAGTTAGCTTTGTGTTCCCCCCAAAATCTAAAATATTGCAGGAAAGAATTCACATTGATCACTTTATGGGTTATTTTCTTTTCATTGTAATTCTATTTGAGTGAAAGAAGACAGCCAGCGTCTCGGCCAGAGATGTAACTAGGGTGGGGCAATCAGGGCCCGGATTTAGAGGACACTGACAGCAAAACACCAAGTTTAGCGCCTAGTTTGTAAGAATCAAACTTTCCTCTCTTATCCCAAATGGTGGCTTCACACTGGCATCCTGGGGCCTCTGTCTCTAATCTGCACTCCCTACAAACACACACACACAGAGGGCTCCTCAAGCCATCTTCTCCAAGGGTGGTTTGCAGAGCTTGTCCCGAGTGAATTAAAATTCCTAGTTGTGGCTTGGCTCAGTCCATGTTTCTATCTAAAACACTCAGAGTCCAGAACCACAAATACATAACACTCTGGAAGGTTCACAACGTTCAGGCTGTAAACAAAACGCTGGGACATTTTGGCCAAAGAAAGGAGAGACGACCATGAATCTCCAAAAGTAATCATCGTTATAACAACCAGATTTTTCTGCTCTGGTGTGCCAGATGGGGTCTTGATTTGTACAGCATTGCATGAAACACTTGGAGGCCGGACAGTATAGCAAAAAGAGAGTGGCCAATGAATCGTGCGACCAGGCCCTGTTTTGTGGCTACCGATGGGAAAGCCTACAGATAGCCCTCTCTAGGCTCCGATTTGCTCATGTGTAAAATGAAAGGTCTGGACCTCAAAGGTTTTCTCTAGCTCTAATATTCTGGGATGCCACACACAGTTTGGGGGGCTCGACTGCAGAACCTGTTTCTGGATTGTTCAGTTGCCCACCCATTTCTTCTACGTTGACAGGAATGGGAAAACCCAAAATGATTCATTACAATAAAGATTCTCCCACAGATTTAATAATATTTTTTGCCTGTTATTGCCCACCTTCTTGAAACTTCAAACCATTTCTTAAAAAAATTCCTCTCTCCACTGATTTGTCATCTCTAAATTAGAAAGTAGAGTCTGTGGTTTCTCCTTGAAATTCACAATTATAAAAGGAAATCTCTGATGTGAATTTAGTATCGCTTCTGCATGCCAACAAGAAATCTTCCAGCATTCCAAATTGCTCATACTCATGTCAGCAGTTTGGCATTCCCTGATTCTGATTTCAGAATTTAATTCAATTCAAACAAAACACTATTAGGTATCTCTGTGTATATAAGGCCCTGTGCTAGGCACTGGGGGGAGTCAGAAAAGGGAAATCAGACTCAGGCTCAGTAGTTAAAACCATGGAGTAGGGAGAGATGTGATAAATATACAAAGGAGTCAACAGCAAAGACAACATCCCACCCCTGGCCTCGCTCCTTCTAAACCTCTTCTTTATCCAGGGTGCTTCTGCAGGCCATCACCCCCATTCTGCCTTCACTTTGCTTTTTTCCCAACTTAGCCCTCTAGCTACCTGGTTCTTCCACTTACCACAATGGACTCTTCATGCCTCGCCCCTTTGTCCTACACTCAGATCTTGCCAAAAGTCCAAACATGGGCCACACCCACCATCCACCATCTCCTCCTACTCCAGGCACTGAATTCACAAAAATGCTCCTGTCTGGTCAGTTCTCCGTATGCAGAGAGATGACTTTCAGATCTCTGTCTAGCTCCAGTCGCATCCACTGCCGAGTCTTGGCAATTCTAGCCCCACAATGTATCTTGCATCTCTCCACTTGCTACACACAGGACCACCTCCCCTGGTTCAGGCCCTCATCACCTCTCACCTGAGCTGTTGTAATAGCTTTCTAATTGGTCTCTCCCTGCCTCAAGGCTCTCCCTTTTTCAATCCTCCACCTCCACGGCTGCCAAAGTGATAAAGCACAGGGCTAACTATGGTGCTCCTTTTGATCAGAGAGCCCCAGTGGCTCCCTAGTGCCCCTAGGATCAGCTACAACCTCCCGTTTGGCATTTAAGCCCTGCACAATCTGGCTTCAGATTAATAACCTCTGAAAGCTTACTCTACATCACTCCCCCTTTCACACACACTATGATCTAACCCCACTGCCCTATTTACCATTCCTCAGAGACCATATTTCATCTTCTGTCGCTGGGCCTTCGCAGAGGCTGTCCTTCTGACTCCCACCTCCATGCCAGGAATGTACTCTTCCCTCATCTTTTACTGGAGAACCCCAGCTCCCATCCAAGAGGAGTTCAAGGGCCACTGGCTACACGAGGCTTTTCCTGACCCACTCCCCACCTCCCCCACCTCAGCTGCTAGTACCTGCCCTAAAATGCTTCAGATTTACTTTGGCCATTTTTGTAAGTACTTATCATACTTCTAGCTCCTTTCCATTGCTACACTGTAAGCTCCTTCAGGGAAGGGGCTGTTTCATGTTTGTCTCTGCCCAGTTTATAGTAGGAGTTTAATAAATTCTTGATCAATTGATGAGAAACTATCCTCTGAGGAAAAGCAGTGTACCCTGGAGGCTTACCACTTTCTCTGTTTTCATTCCCTTCTCACCCATTACTTTCAGACTTCCAACATGTTCACTCACCTGAAACGGCTGTAAGGTGATCAACAATCTCTTAATTACTGAAGCAAATGGCCTTTTCTCAGTCTTCAACCTTCTTGACCCATGCTGGATGCTCCACTGTCGTCACATTCCCTCAGCTTTTTTGGCTGTGGTCTCACCTAGTTCTCCTCGCACCTATCATCATCTCCTACTGATGAACATAAGATTGTATCCCTCCTAAGCCTGGCTCTGCTCTGGACTCTTTCTGTCTGTGTCTGTGTCTGTGTCTGTCTGTCTCTCTCTCTCTCTCTCTCTCTCTCTGTGTGTGTGTAATCTCATCAGCAGCCATGAGTTCAGGTAAATAAGCCCAAGAAACCTAAGGACACCAACAC